AGCAGGCACATTGTAGGGATACATAGATCAAATATAGATCATGTATGAATTGTGTATGTGTGAGTAAGTCAAATAGGACTACATGAACTTCATTACAAATTAATACACACCAGACCAAATACGGTTCAGCTGGCGGAAGTAGCCGCCAGCCTTTCGGGACCTGGGGAGCGTGTCCGACGGGGCGTAGGCCCGTGCATTCCCCGCTCCCCGCCGACCCAAGTAGGGCAATTTAGGGGAGACGGGATTATTTCCCCAACCTATCCAGCCAGTGCCACGTCCACTGTCGCCGCGTTTCCTGGGTCCCGACCTGCAAAAAATCAGCCGACTCGCAGTCCGGGCGGCTGCTGATGATAACCCCAGCCTGGCATCTAGCCCTAACCCTAACCATGGCGCTCACCCTAACCCTAACCATAGCGCTGACCCCTAACCCTAACCCCAGCACTAACCCCAACCTGGGAATCTAACCCTAACCCTAACCCTAGTATGGGATTCTAACCCTAACCTGGGACTCGCCCTAACCCTAACCATTAGAGGCAACTTAATGACCAACGGCCAAGCAGGCCACAGAGGTCAAAGGTCAAGCAGGACCCTAACCCTAATATTGGGATCAAAAATACCTATTAATTTGTTTATTAAAAGCACAAATATGTGAATAAACATAATTAATATGGATTTAAAGCACAAGCGGTGCAGAAAGGGTTAAGATTTCAAAAACTAAATAGAGTAGAAAATAACTTAAATACAAGTAAATTCAGTCTAATTTTTGGCGGAGGGGATATAAAAGGGAGACAAGTTGGTAGGGCTTTTCATTTCTTTCTGGCTGCTGGCTGGTCCACCCCTATGAATTGGGGCCCAGCAGCCTTAGCTGTTACATGTGCCCAGTCCTGAAGAAGACCAAATTAGGTCGAAACGTCGACGCAGCAGGCACAATGTACAGATACATAGATCAAATATAGATCATGTATGTATGAATTATGTGTGTGTGAGTAAGTCAAATAGGACTACATGAACTTGATTATAGTATAACACACATCATGCCAAATATGGCTCAGCTGGCGGAAGTAGCCGCCAGCCTTTTGGGACCCGGGGAGCGTGTCCGACGGGGCGTAGGCCCGTGCATTCCCCGCTCCCCGCCGACCCAAGTAGGGCAATTTAGGGGAGACGGGATTCTTTCCCTAACCTATCCAGCCAGTGCCACGTCCACTGTCGCCGCGTTTCCTGGGTCCCGACCTGCAAAAAATCAGCCGACTCGCAGTCCGGGCGGCTGCTGATGATAACCCCAGCCTGGCATCTAGCCCTAACCCTAACCATTGCGCTGACCCTAACCCTAACCCTAGCGCTGACCCCTAACCCTAACCCCAGCACTAACCCTAACCTGGGAATCTAACCCTAACCCTAACCCTAGTATGGGATTCTAACCCTAACCTGGGACTCGCCCTAACCCTAACCATTAGAGGCAACTTAATGACCGACGGCCAAGCAGGCCACAGAGGTCAAAGGTCAAGCAGGACCATATACCTATTAATATGTTTATTAAAGCACAAATATGTGAATAAACATAATTAATACGGATTTAAAGCACAAACAGGTGCATAAAGGGTTAAGATTGTAAAAACTAAATAGAGCAGAAAATAACTTAAATATAAGTAAATTCATTCTAATTTTTAGCTGAGGGAATATAAAAGGGAGAAAAGTGGGTAGGGCTTTTCATTTTCATTTCTGTTCGGCTGCTGGCTGGTTCACCCCTATGAATTGGGGCCCAGCAGCCTTAGCTGTTACATGTGCCCAGTCCTGAAGAAGACCAAATTAGGTCGAAACGTCGACGCAGCAGGCACAATGTACAGATACATAGATCAAATATAGATCATGTATGTATGAATTATGTGTGTGTGAGTAAGTCAAATAGGACTACATGAACTTGATTATAGTATAACACACATCATGCCAAATATGGCTCAGCTGGCGGAAGTAGCCGCCAGCCTTTCGGGACCCGGGGAGCGTGTCCGACGGGGCGTAGGCCCGTGCATTCCCCGCTCCCCGCCGACCCAAGTAGGGCAATTTAGGGGAGACGGGATTCTTTCCCTAACCTATCCAGCCAGTGCCACGTCCACTGTCGCCGCGTTTCCTGGGTCCCGACCTGCAAAAAATCAGCCGACTCGCAGTCCGGGCGGCTGCTGATGATAACCCCAGCCTGGCATCTAGCCCTAACCCTAACCATCGCGCTGACCCTAACCCTAACCCTAGCGCTGACCCCTAACCCTAACCCCAGCACTAACCCTAACCTGGGAATCTAACCCTAACCCTAACCCTAGTATGGGATTCTAACCCTAACCTGGGACTCGCCCTAACCCTAACCATTAGAGGCAACTTAATGACCGACGGCCAAGCAGGCCACAGAGGTCAAAGGTCAAGCAGGACCATATACCTATTAATATGTTTATTAAAGCACAAATATGTGAATAAACATAATTAATATGGATTTAAAGCACAAACAGGTGCATAAAGGGTTAAGATTGTAAAAACTAAATAGAGCAGAAAATAACTTAAATATAAGTAAATTCATTCTAATTTTTAGCTGAGGGAATATAAAAGGGAGAAAAGTGGGTAGGGCTTTTCATTTTCATTTCTGTTCGGCTGCTGGCTGGTTCACCCCTATGAATTGGGGCCCAGCAGCCTTAGCTGTTACATGTGCCCAGTCCTGAAGAAGACCAAATTAGGTCGAAACGTCGACGCAGCAGGCACAATGTACAGATACATAGATCAAATATAGATCATGTATGTATGAATTATGTGTGTGTGAGTAAGTCAAATAGGACTACATGAACTTGATTATAGTATAACACACATCATGCCAAATATGGCTCAGCTGGCGGAAGTAGCCGCCAGCCTTTCGGGACCCGGGGAGCGTGTCCGACGGGGCGTAGGCCCGTGCATTCCCCGCTCCCCGCCGACCCAAGTAGGGCAATTTAGGGGAGACGGGATTCTTTCCCTAACCTATCCAGCCAGTGCCACGTCCACTGTCGCCGCGTTTCCTGGGTCCCGACCTGCAAAAAATCAGCCGACTCGCAGCCGGGCGGCTGCTGATGATAACCCCAGCCTGGCATCTAGCCCTAACCCTAACCATCGCGCTACCCTAACCCTAACCCTAGCGCTGACCCCTAACCCTAACCCCAGCACTAACCCCAACCTGGGAATCTAACCCTAACCCTAACCCTAGTATGGGATTCTAACCCTAACCTGGGACTCGCCCTAACCCTAACCATTAGAGGCAACTTAATGACCGACGGCCAAGCAGGCCACAGAGGTCAAAGGTCAAGCAGGACCATATACCTATTAATATGTTTATTAAAGCACAAATATGTGAATAAACATAATTAATACGGATTTAAAGCACAAACAGGTGCATAAAGGGTTAAGATTGTAAAAACTAAATAGAGCAGAAAATAACTTAAATATAAGTAAATTCATTCTAATTTTTAGCTGAGGGAATATAAAAGGGAGAAAAGTGGGTAGGGCTTTTCATTTTCATTTCTGTTCGGCTGCTGGCTGGTTCACCCCTATGAATTGGGGCCCAGCAGCCTTAGCTGTTACATGTGCCCAGTCCTGAAGAAGACCAAATTAGGTCGAAACGTCGACGCAGCAGGCACAATGTACAGATACATAGATCAAATATAGATCATGTATGTATGAATTATGTGTGTGTGAGTAAGTCAAATAGGACTACATGAACTTGATTATAGTATAACACACATCATGCCAAATATGGCTCAGCTGGCGGAAGTAGCCGCCAGCCTTTCGGGACCCGGGGAGCGTGTCCGACGGGGCGTAGGCCCGTGCATTCCCCGCTCCCCGCCGACCCAAGTAGGGCAATTTAGGGGAGACGGGATTCTTTCCCTAACCTATCCAGCCAGTGCCACGTCCACTGTCGCCGCGTTTCCTGGGTCCCGACCTGCAAAAAATCAGCCGACTCGCAGTCCGGGCGGCTGCTGATGATAACCCCAGCCTGGCATCTAGCCCTAACCCTAACCATCGCGCTGACCCTAACCCTAACCCTAGCGCTGACCCCTAACCCTAACCCCAGCACTAACCCTAACCTGGGAATCTAACCCTAACCCTAACCCTAGTATGGGATTCTAACCCTAACCTGGGACTCGCCCTAACCCTAACCATTAGAGGCAACTTAATGACCGACGGCCAAGCAGGCCACAGAGGTCAAAGGTCAAGCAGGACCATATACCTATTAATATGTTTATTAAAGCACAAATATGTGAATAAACATAATTAATACGGATTTAAAGCACAAACAGGTGCATAAAGGGTTAAGATTGTAAAAACTAAATAGAGCAGAAAATAACTTAAATATAAGTAAATTCATTCTAATTTTTAGCTGAGGGAATATAAAAGGGAGAAAAGTGGGTAGGGCTTTTCATTTTCATTTCTGTTCGGCTGCTGGCTGGTTCACCCCTATGAATTGGGGCCCAGCAGCCTTAGCTGTTACATGTGCCCAGTCCTGAAGAAGACCAAATTAGGTCGAAACGTCGACGCAGCAGGCACAATGTACAGATACATAGATCAAATATAGATCATGTATGTATGAATTATGTGTGTGTGAGTAAGTCAAATAGGACTACATGAACTTGATTATAGTATAACACACATCATGCCAAATATGGCTCAGCTGGCGGAAGTAGCCGCCAGCCTTTCGGGACCCGGGGAGCGTGTCCGACGGGGCGTAGGCCCGTGCATTCCCCGCTCCCCGCCGACCCAAGTAGGGCAATTTAGGGGAGACGGGATTCTTTCCCTAACCTATCCAGCCAGTGCCACGTCCACTGTCGCCGCGTTTCCTGGGTCCCGACCTGCAAAAAATCAGCCGACTCGCAGTCCGGGCGGCTGCTGATGATAACCCCAGCCTGGCATCTAGCCCTAACCCTAACCATCGCGCTACCCCTAACCCTAACCCTAGCGCTGACCCCTAACCCTAACCCCAGCACTAACCCCAA